CAGAAGAGTCATTAGCACATTTGTGGTTTATAGAGATTGCTTTGCCTGTAGTATGACAAATTTACAAGACAGCTGCAGAAAATAGGCAAGAAATTACAAGACACAGAAATAATTCAGAGGGAAAAGGGGGAGAGGAAGTTGCATCAAGAATTTATTGGCTGTAAATAATGAGGAAGGAGAAGTTTGAGACTAGATGATCCCAAGATTTTTAAATAGCAGCATTAAGTAGAAGTGGTTCCAGTCTCCAAGATAATAAGTCCTATTGAGATGAGACCACAGGGTGGGGGTGGGGAGGGGGAAAAATGAAGTAAAGGAATTACTCTGGGTTGGATGTAGTGAATTTGAGATACCTTGCATGGTTTAAAGACCACCCAGCAAGATATTTCTATCAAGGAGATTGGTATGCAAAAGATAAATTGTGTGCATGGGTCAGGAAACCCCATAAAGCTGACAAACACAATCTTGGCTGATTGGAAAGTTACAGAAGAATCTCATAGCACCCAATGGCTGCAGGTTGGGCTTGGCCTCCAACATACTGGGCATTAGTCTGTAGCTATTTTCCACCTTCAGCTGAAGCAGTCAGATTGTCTACGTCATGTCTGTTTCATTCTCTTTCGTTCTCTACTAGATTTAGTCACTCTACTTCACTAGAACATGTGAGACAAGATGATGACCTTGGCTCAGCTCCACATGACTCAGAACTTGGTCTGAGTGTTTCCCCGCTAAGTTTCAATTCCAGAGATAATCTCCTGGGCTCAGTTTGGGGCAGAGGTGATCTCATGGGCTCACTTGTGGGCAGAAAATCGACTGACACGGGTTCAAGCTATCCTTCTAGACTGCTGGTTGGCTATGTCTCCAAGAATTGAATGTGGGCAGGGCAGAAATGACCAACTGAGCGAACGGCTGTTACCTCGAGTACAGTGAGAAGAGCATTCAGGGCACAGGTTTGGGCCAGAAATAAGGTTTGGGGATTAGTGAGAACTAAGGTATTGGTTGAGATCACCCAGGGAAAACTTAGACACAGAAAATGAAGGGCTGAGCAGCATTTCAGAAGTGGTGAGAGGGAGATGAGTGTGATTTAGAAGAGATGGAACAATAAGGAAAACATGGTGTCAAGAGCAGGGAGGAGGGGGAAGTGTCAAAGTGTGAAGGAAGTTCTGTAGAAACAGGAAGATGAGCTGAGGGATAACATGGGGACTACGAATGAGGATGCAAACTGAGGTGGAGACAGGTTACAGTGAGGTGACGCTGCAGCATAATGCCACGTGAATTAGGGGTACAGACAGAGAGGCAACTCGTTGTGTTAAGTTGAAGGATGTCCTAAAGGAACTCTGCAGTCTTGTGGACTCCACCCCCTACTCCAGCTTTCTGGACTCCACCCCCTACTCCTGTGATTGAAAACTACAATTCCCAGCAGTACCAGGGAGAGAACTGCGAGGACCCAAGGGCAGAGCTAAGCAGGCATTCTGGGACACTGGGGGATAAATAGTGTGCCATTTTCCAGTTGTGCTCTCTTGCTCAGGCAACAGCTCTCAGGACTGTGTTACTGGGGATTATCAGTTAGTTTATTAGAGCTCCAAGTCAGCCGAGCTCATAAGATATTCTAGTTACCTTGTATCTCTCTCTCTTTCCCTGGGTTGTCCCTTATCCTTTCCCCCCTTTCGTAAATAAGCCCATAACCCTTCTGTGTGTGTTTTCAGTACAACTAAATTTTAAGCATGTGGGTGAGGACCCACAGACAGGCTGCCCAGTTCACACTGGGGTGCCCTGTAACAGTTTTTTGAAGGTTGGGCTTTGGAAGGAGGTAAGTATAACTGACGATGGATGTATGGTGGAGAAGACATTTATACTCTTATTGAAGATTCTGAGGTGGGGGTTATTGACTAGACAACCAAGAGAGGCAGTGGAGGTAAATTCAGCAGGAGGTTAAACAGGATGGACTAGAGATTGGGAACTTTCCACTGAAGTGAGAGGGAAGTCTTTCAAAAATGAATGACTAGGCCTCCCAGGTGGCACAGCGGGTTGAAGCATGGCACTGTAAGCCACCTGCAGCCGCTTCAGTACCAGTTTGATCCCACCCCTGGGGTGACCCACATGGCACAGCAGACCTCTCCTGACCTGCCCTCTGCTCCCCTCAGCAGTGTATTTCATCAATCTGCCTGTTCTGCTCCCCACTCTGTTTGTGGTGAATCTTCTCACTGCTCCTGTACCTCTGACCTGTACCCCAATTCTGTATGCAAAATAAATCTTTAAAAAAATAAAATTAAAATAAAAAAAAATGACTAGATTTAAGAAACGGTTGTTGAGCCAGTTTGTAGAGTTTGGCTTCTCTTTGTCTTGGGTTCTATTTAAGGCCAAGGAGTTGGGTTTGCAGGCACACCATGGCAGGATCAGGCTTGCCTGCTGCACTGTGGTGGAGGATAAAAAGGTGGAGGATAAACAGGCCTTTCTTTGGCTATTCTTGAGGAAGTCCTAGTGATGACACCCTCAGTTGCCTCCCTGCTTAGGGAAGCCAGAAGTCGAGAGAGCAGGGCTGAGAGCAGGCAGTGTAGCCATGCAGAAGGACCTTCATCAGGAGTCAGAAAACCTTGGGTTCTGGCCACTCCAAAATTTCCTGACATGTGCTTTGGCAAGCTATAAAACTGCGTCCTCTTTCTTTCTTTCTTTTTTTTAAATAATATATGTGTGACATAAGCTTCTCTGCTTGTTTTATAGATTTTTCAGATTGCTTTCAACTACAGGTGTACTAATAATGTAAAATTTGTATAGCACAAGTATTCAGAAAGTGGGGTGTCTGTGTGGGTGCTGGTGGAGCCATGGCACCATAACAATCCATGATGGCATGACCCTCGAGGACTGTTCAGGGTCTGCCGTGTCAGAGGTTGGCCTGAGCGTAGAGCATTCCCATTGCCATAAAAAAATGCCTGTAAGCAGCAGCACATTAAAATCACAAGCTCCTTACTGTCTCCAGACTAGGATATAAAGTTCAAGCAGCTTTATAAATTGCTTTCTGGTCGAAGGCAAAAATGAACTGTCTCAAAAATTTGTACTCACATGATAAATGCCAGTTCCCTCTCTCCTTTTTCGAGCTGTACTGCCACAATCAGAAGAACACAAGGCCCCTTCTTCTGCAAAGTCCTTCAACTTTTTCTAAATGAAAAGTAAAGACTTTGGTATATTGACCTCTTTCCACCCAAGTTCTATATTCCTATTAGGGCCTCGGACTGACTTCCATCATATGGTACCTGATTGTTTTTAGATTCGGGTCATGTGGTCAAGTGTCTATTTTCATGGCTGACATGATGGGAAGTAGTTAGACTAGTAATACCTGCACCTGCGCTCACCGACATTACAAAGGTTAATGAGAGAACACCTGTGCACCAATCTACGTTCTTCAGCTTCATCCAAAAGCACTGATGATGCCAAATTGGACCAGACATGGGTGAGGGACTGGAGGGACTGTGTCATGTAGACTCACTGCCTTGTCTGCTGTGTGTCTGGGAGACAGATTTCTAGGTTGTTATTTCCTTTGTTCTTTCTCTTGTGGCTTCATTTCCAAAACAGTTGCTCCCACAGACCTTAAGTTTTAAGACAGAATAGTCAGCAAAGGTTCGAGCCTATCATCTGATCTTCCTCTTCTGCCAAGAAGCCAAGTGATCAGGTATCATCTAGTGTGAATAAAGAAGGATTTTAAAAGAACCAAAGTAGCCTGTTTGGGCTGTGACTCTTGGAACTTATATACATTAGTGAGAAATGAACCAAAGGGAGATAAAGGTTCAGTATCAGTAGAGAGAATGTAAAAGCAAGCACAGGAAAGGCAGCTGAGGATTGAATGTGCCATAGGAGGTATCCAGCTATACTTATGTGGTCATTTTTGTTTCTGTTGAACGAAAATGTGAAAATTCTCCTGGTTGGAGTCATAGCTCAGAGCACCTAGGAGACATAGCTCAGAACGTCTATTCATCACCCCCTGGAAGCAGCCAGCAACTCCTAATCCACTTGGTAAATGTTCACAAGGGCTTCATCTGGCTCCTTAAAATGAAGGATTACAAATTACACTTCCTGAGTCCATCACCAAAGTCACATGACCAGAAAGCTTAAGAAGTTATTATTATTATTGTATCAAACAGAGGCTTGGGGAAATGTTTTGTTCTTTTCTCTAATAGCTAATTACATGTGTAAAGGCAGCCTAAAATCTGCACTTTTTTTTTTTAAACTAAAGTAAAATTCCAGATGGAAACAACCTGAGGCCTCTGCTTTGGTGGGGTAGCTATTGTTGACATTCTAAAAGCACAACATATTTGAGTAACTAGCTGCTATTAGCAATGATTTAGGCTCAACATTGCTAAGCATAAAGTAAGAACAATGGGTCTATAAAGGCTGATGAGTAGAAATTATAGTGTGTCAAGGTGCAGAAAATATCAAAAATAGAGAATACATGCAGAAAACAACATGTTTCAACATTTGACTGTTCTGGATCTAAATATTGAGAATTCTAAACTGCAAGTCTAGGAACACACACACACATACACACATACACACATACACACCACCCTTTATACTCCGAGCTCTCTGACAGCTGGCTCCTTTGTTTTCACCTTCACACCCCTCAGGGTGCTCTCCACAGGGCGATGCACACAGTTGATGTTCAATACACATTTTCAAATGGGATAACAGACAGTTGCTTTGCCTCAGTTTTTTCATGTAACTGACAAAGAATAATGACACAAATTACAAGTAACCTCTCTTCGTTGAGGCTTCTCTGGGTCATCAGCAGTGCACCATAGGGAGGCAGTGGAAGAAAGCTTATAGCAAGTTGTGGGGGCACATTGTCATCTTAAGCATGCTGAGCCCAAGGTAGCTGTGCTGGGCTGTTACCAACCTCTTGTTGTTTTCTCTTTTGCAAAACAAAAGGATAAGGAAAGTAGAGGAGAGAGATGAGAAAGAGATGGATTGTTGGAATCAATTACTCATATAACAGAATTTTTTTGGGTATTTTATTTAATTCTGCAGATAACATTTGCAATGAAAACACGTTAAATCCCATGACAAATTTTAAAAATAGGTCAGATGAAAATATCACATAATCAACTCACGGATATTTTCTAATATATATGGAACAGAAGTCCCAAAATTATTATGACAGAACACGGGAGAGCATGGTATAAGAGCTAGGTTATTTTAACTTTACATTAACATGTGACAAATTAATATAATTCAGTGTCAAAAAGAAATGAATATAGAAAAAAATATAAAACATGTTGGACTTTTTACATTTTATTCAGAATTCCATTATTTATTATTAGCATGACTTAAGAATGATTATTATTTCATTCCATACAAAATAATACTTGTTTGACTTATCTGTCTGATGAGAACTAAATTTATTGTTAGAAAATTTTTAATTATGATAGAATATAGCATATGTCCCATTTAAATATTCACATAACATTGCATTGCTAGTAAGGAAAAGTACAGAATGTATTACAGATTGTTGATTTACAAGGGAAAGCAGTAACAGTTTCTATCTGCTGTTAGAGCGAAAAATTAAAATGTTGTATTATGTCATGAATTAACACAGGATGTTTATATTAAAATTGAGCAGTCATCAGATTTTGATTTTATCTGGGAAAATATGTAAGTGGCCCTTTAAATATGTGGACACACTTCACCATCTATTGAAACATGGCTTAATGTTACCCATGCAATCATCTAATACTGGACAAACAATTCTTTTTGAATGGTGAGAAGACATAAGAAGTTTTCATCAAATAAGATCATTTTCCCAACATCTCTCCCTTTTCCTATCCCCTTAACCATAGAACACATGATAAAAAAACAACAGGAAGAAAAGTGGTTGCTTTCATGGGCCTGGCAATTGTTTCTCTGGATAGGGATGATTGCAACTTCTTGGTTTCATTATTGCTCCTTTCAACTGCTCAACAATTAGTCATTATGATAGGTTTTTTTAAAAGAAGATCACATTTCAGGCTGGCATTTAATGTCTCTGGCCAAGGGGTGTGACTCACTATGCTTTAGGTAGAAAAGGCTGGTTCTTACTCTGTGCAAGAACTATACTTGAGAACTCTCTAAATAGGTCTGCTGGCAACAAGGTCTTGTCACTGAAACATGGAATTTCCCATCATTTGATTGAACATTAAATTTTACTGCAAGTTTTAAAGAGAATAAGAGTTACAGAAGGAAAAAAAAACATGATCTCTCTGAATCTTGATTGTTTAATCTTTAAACTTCAGAGGATATTATTATTTCATGTGACATTTTAAAGATGAAATAAAATGAGTGATTTGCAAAGTATGAAATGATAAACAAATGTTAGACAGCTCTGAAAAATTCAAACTATTTTGTTATTGTGATATTTGCATCTGTCTAAGAACACAAACGGGTTTGGTATAGTATGGGTTTGGTATATATAGAAATAGAACATGCACTGTTTGCTTTCCCTTGTGATATATGCAGGAACTTTTTAACAGAAATCAGACCATTTTATGGGAGGTGCGTCCAAAAATGGTCAAAACAGTGCCCTTTAGATGGAACAAAAATGGATATTCTCATTTGGATGACAATAATATAAGTTTACGGTAGTTAGGAAAAACACTTTGACAAGTTTAAGTAAGCTAAATAGCTAACCTCCCCACCCCAAACCCAGCATTGAGATATCACATCATGGAGACAATTTACGGGAAGAACTACTACTATGGTTTGTTTTAGTACCGTAGGGTCACAAATTGTTAGATACAGAATATGCGAGATCACCATTTAGCAAATTTCATCACCTTTAAAATATAGATGAATTTACTTTTCACAAAGACCACTAACACTAATACATAAGAGATTCAATTACATATAAAATAAAAGTTCAGATTCACAACCAAAATGATCTGATGAAATGTTTACTGAATTGCTCTACTAGTCAAAATACACATTTCTTATTAGCATAGAGGCCTTTAAAACCACCCCCTTTTCTGAATGGAAGGATATATGACCAGAACATGGACAAATAATCTCAGTATGACAAAATATTTCTGTATTATTCAATGGGTTAGTATCATTTTGTTGCATCTCCTATTTGCCACATTTTAGCATCCTTCTAGCATACTCTACCATAAAACCAGCAACTAGAATATACTCTGTTTTTCCATGAATATATAGTTACTTCTCATCTATGTTGTGCAAAACCTATATAACCCTTCTTTTTCCAACTGTCTGCTTACACCAAACAGAAGTGTTTGGGTTATCCCTGAATTCTGATTCTCACTCCTGAGCAAAATTCATTGTAATATGGCTCTATCAGGCCTCTTTTGGAGTCACTAAAATTCACAAAATTTTGTGAATAGTATTTTAAATTATAGTCATTGCTTCTGGGATCAAAAGGGCATTGACTTTTTAACATGACAAAAATGTACCTTACAATAAGATACAATTCATTGGTGAGCACAGTACATTTGCTTTGCCAAATGTTTATTAAACTACACAGAAGGTTCACTTCGACAAATGTCTCATTTAGAGAACTAACTCCACCTTCAAAATAAAGTGATACAGCATAAAAACTAAACCATGGTTAAAAGTAAAAGGAAGCTGAAATTCACGTCTTGCTGTGGTCAGCTGGCCATGGTAAAACAGGGACATCTGGATTTGTGGTCTGCTGGGTCCCACGAATGGAAACACAGCATCTCAGTGACTTCATGACTGAGGGGAATGTGCTCACGCACACATATTTAATAGCCTGAAAGATCACAGAATTTTCAAAGCTGTAATTTGAAGCCAAATTTAAAGTCTTCATTGGACAAATAAACTGTGGCTCTGAGGTTAGTGGACTTTCCCAGGGCGGTGAGCTGTGGACAGACCTGGCATGACAGCACAGTAGTGGCTTCTGTCCCCCAAACTACTTCTCCTGCAAAGACAACCAAGAGCTCTCTCACCCCTCAAACTTTCTACAGCTCCCAAGACTGTAACAGCTAAGCTGTGGTCCTGGGTTAGCATTTCACAGACAATTCCCCATCACCTTTCGTCCTATCCTTCGACCAAATAACCTCCCTCCTGTTTCAGCTATTTCACGAACCAGTTTCCATTCTGCAGAGGAATTTTCTGCTTTTCCGTGATCCCATGATAGAACAGTCACAACGATTAGAGAAGGAAAAAAAAAATCCTATTTCCTTTTCTCACAATCAAGTGATCAATTTGTAACACTCAAGGCTCAATACTCATTTCCATTTACTTTTTCCCTTCAGAAATACATAAGGAAATCAGAGTACATGAGTATTCTTCAAAACCTATGGAAGGAGCTTTGGAGATTAGTTAACCCAGCACAACTGTTTTGTAATTCAGGAAACGGAAGCCTAGCAATGGTGAGTGGTTTTCTAGGTCCCTCTGACAGTGGGAAAGTAAGATTTCTCTATGATAGCTAGACCAATGTGGTATTTGCTACTCAATTGGTGAGTCATATTTGATATGGCATTGATACCATTCTGATTTGGTCTTTATTTGAAACTGTAGGATGTAGTAATAATGCAGATGATGTTAACCATACTGTACTGCGTAAAGCTGTGTCACTGGTACTTTATAAAAGTAATTCCTGTGTGTATATTTATAACACTGATCCTTTCTGATCCTTATTAAAGCATCTGAATAGCTTAAGACCTCTACAGGACATTTGATCATTCTGTTTCAATCATCCTAACTTTGATGTGAATGACCTTACTCCTGACTTGGCTGTGATCAGTCGTAAGTTGGCTGGAATGGACTAACCATTTTAAGTCAGTCTCCACTCATGGGCTAACATAGAGGAAAAGCATAGTAGTGGTAATATTTTCACTTTAGTCACAAATCATCCAGATTGGAGGTTCACATAGCTCAAATTTGACACTCTTATTTTGCTTTTTCCTAGAATGACCTGGCCTCAAAATTTTGACTATAGAGGAATTACCAGCAGGTTATGCAAAGCTCATTGTAGACATTGCCTCAAAGAAATTTACCTGGATTGTATCTCCTAGTCATTGTTTTGCTGCTAGAAGGTGTAAGACTGTTTCAGCTACTGATTCTTTTAACAGTAAATTTACCACCAGTATTTTCTTAAACAGAGCATGAAAAAAAGTATTGTAATTTTGACTTTGTTACTGAAATATTTTTGTTAAGAAATTCTGTAAGTGCTCTTATTATGACTTAGCATTGCTATGTATCTGAATAACAGGAGATTGGTTATTTATGTATTTGTTCTGGTATTGTCCGGGAAGAAAATGCAGAAATTAAAAATGCCTGCTTTATGCTGAATGTTCACAGTTAAGGCTTCTTAAATAATATACAAATAGCTACTATTCTGCTGAAATGTCACAGTAAATACATTAATAATGGCACAGAAGTGAAACATCCCCCAAATAGGAAATCACCTTCATGACCTCCTAAATGTCTTTACCAACTAAAAGTTTGATTTTTATTGGAAAAATCATTTTTAAAAGAATATAAAAATAGAAAATAAGTCAAGAGAATTTAAAATGAAATTCTATAAACATTAGATGAAATATTACAAACATCTTTAAGAATGTGCTTGATGTGAAAACTAGACATGGATGAGTATATTATATATGAACTGTCCAAGAGATAACTAAACATTAACATTTGACTGAAGATAGACAACTTAAACAATATAATAATACTAATTTTTTTTTTTTAAAGTTAAGCTCAGCTAAAACCTATAAGAGTATTTCACAAATCTATCATCTTGGATCAAAAAGTAAAAGATGCTTAATCAAGCAAGGCACATTTCTTTTAGGCAAGTCTGTCTTTAATATCATTCATGTGGGCACAGTGTAGACTTCACTTATTTACGTAGAAATAGGCTAAACTAGGTATGAGAGCCTTTGGCACAAAACACACCTTCACAAATAAAGTTGTACATAATCCAGAACATGGGAAGCATGAACTGTAACATTAAAATATCTCAGGGCTAAACAGTAAATAACTGAAAGAAGAAACAATATAGTTGGTTTGCTAGAAACAAACAGATTTTCTTTATCAGTGGAACTGATTTTTGATTGATTCCATCTCATCAAAATGTCAAAGGTCAACATGATACCTTAATTTTTTAAATGTTCTTTCTCTCTTGATCGGTATCTTTTATATTGCACACACTTACAAGAGAATCCTCCAGTTTCAGAGCTGTTTCCTTTCTATGAAGCATTTAGTAAAGACATGTGATTTAATGTCAACTGAAACAAAACTATGCGCAGGCAGACCGCAATGTCACCGGCTTCAGCGATAAATGAGACTGCGCTCTCCACTCCGACAATCTAAAAGTGCGCCTCCTACCGGTCGGTGCAGCTCCATAATGCGTTCTGTGGACTCTTCAAGGATGTGCTGAACAAAATAAACACAGTCCAGAGTAAACACAGACTCTATGACAATATAAAATGTTATATTCTTATGCTTTTAAAAACTGTGTTTCTTTTCTTACCTGAAAAATGCAATTCATTTAATTTTCTGAATGCATTAACCACATACTGAATATTTTTTATGTTAGAAAAAAGGCCAAGGTGTACTGAGATTTTGAACTGTCATTTCTTACCAATAATGACTTTCAAACATAGTCCAAACCAACATGATTGTTTGCTTTTTGAAAAGGAAAATTTATCTTCATCTTTAGAATCACCTTAAAGGTTGAGAGTACCTACTGATAGTAATTTTATCATTGTATTTCTAAGGGCTTATTTTTGCTGGCTGTGGTAATCTGAGAACTCTTTTAAGTGAATAGAAACCCCAGGTTTAGATAAGTGTACTGGGTTGGGGGAAGGAGAAGCAAGAAACAATTCAGAATGCAAAGTGTGAGAATCCCTATTCAGAGAGCTTATCTTATCATTAAAATAGCTTTCAAATCTGTTGATCTTTCAAAATAGGAACCTTGTACAGTCATGTACCACTTTAAGAAACCACAATTGCAGTCAACAATGATCAGGTGACCAGGTTCTATGAAGAGCCAAGAAGTAAGCATTCAAGGTTTTGAATTTTGCATGTTCTCCAACCCCCAACTACAGAACAACTCAGAAATGCTAAGATATGGAAACAACATAAGTGTCCCAAAACGGATCAGTGGATGAAGTAGATATGGTATACAATGGAATACTACTTAGCACTGAAAAAGATAAACACATGCCATTTGTAGCAATGTAAATGGAGCTGGAATAAATCAATGTAAATGGAGCTGGAATAAATCAAATCAATCAGTGAAATAAATCAAAACTGCTTAAAGTATTTCTTAAAACCAGTGTAAGACAGTGTGACAGCCTTGTCTACTGCATATGCAGGCACTCAGCACCCAGGCTGAATGAATGAATGGACACAGAAAATTCAGGTTTATGAACGCCAGAGATTTACTGATCATGAAATATAAAGAACACTTCTAAAGTCAAAAATAGAAAATGCTAAACCCAGATCCAGGTTTTTATGTGAATATTATCCACCTTCATACTCCCATACTACACCAGGTTTGAGCAGACGTCTCAAAAGCAGTGGTAAACGCTGAGAGATGTGATCTGGAACTTGGGTGTGCTTTTAATAGAACATTCACTAAACTAAATGTTTTAGGTCTACTATGTGCTGGGCAATCATTTACTTGAAAGTATTCCTTGATGGCTGGGTGACACTTGACCACCTTTCATGATACAACTTCTTAACATTGGATTGTAGTAAAAAAGCAAAGGTATATTTTTGTACCACAGTTTATTTAATTTTCATTACAATGGTGTCAATTACAATGGTGTAAAAGGCACTGGTGACTAAAAATTTTAAGAAATTCTACCCACTTTATTTTCTCAATGTCTAGGGTCTGCTCAGAGCTACTCCGTTTTGGTCATCTTGAGATGTTTCTATTAAGCTCTTCTTATGTTGCCACCATTACATACTTTTTATAAGAAGTTTGGGATTTTTCTGTTTTAACCTCATGTAGCAGAACCTGCCTCAAACTTCCTATGATTATTAAATAAGTGTGGTTTACTTGGCATCCTGCTAGTGTATATATAGTGTATATATATACACTCTATATAGTGTATATAGAGAGAGTTGTAATTTAACAGAAGTAAAAAATAAAAGTGCTACTTGTATAATACTCATAATAGCATTTTAGTGGCTGAGTAATGGCTTGAAGGGCTTAGAATGGTCATTGAGTTCAACATCAAAATCAACTCAACAGAAAGAGAAGAAGTATGATAGAAAATGGTGACGTAATTGAAGATATTTCGCTAAATAAATGTTCTAACATATAAAGCAAGAAAAGAGGATAGAAACAGTCAAATTTCCATAATTACAAAAACTCTTCAAGTTTGTGAAGGGGTAATACCTCTACGAAGGTCCAAATGAAAAAAGGCACAGACATCTAGCTGACTTCATTGGTAACCACACTAACTTGCATTTGATGAATTTGAAGCTGAAAGAACCCTATAACATGAGTTTTATGGTCACTTTGTCATACACCTACTCTGACACCTATTAAATAACTTAGAGTTGGCTGCACACCAACAAATTCTACCAGCTAAATGGTAATGAATTAGCCCCAAAAGCTTGAAAGACTTCTTGCTCAATTACGTATAATTTTCTGATTGGCCTCTGGAAATTATACACTGTTGGCAAGCAAAAAAAGTTCAAGAACATTCAATAATATTCGATAATTAAAGTTGGTGATATGCTAAGATGTGAGCTTTGTAAAAAAATCTGTAAAGTCACAGGCAATTGAGTTGTGAGGTGTAATTGCTACAACGCTGAGCAATAATTAGGTCTACTACTAGTAAATATTCTCAATTCACATTGTTTCCTAGTAAAATAAACTTTTGAAATCAATTAAATTTTTCACTGATAAAAGATTTACACAATCTAGGTCAATTCAAACTGAATTTGAATTGGAAATTCAAACTGAATCTGAAATTATGTTTCTTATGAAGAAACTCAAACACATTTTTTACTTGGAGACATCATTCCTGTTTTATAGTCGACCACTGCATTGTGAAATTGGACATACAGTCACTCTTGTTTAACATGATTTTTATTATTTCTTATTGAAACAATGTATTAGTGAATACTGAGTTCTTCTGTCCTGTGGTCAAACATGAGGTAAACATAGAATGTAGTGAGATTGCCTCTTTAATATCTAACACCTTGGCTATGCCAGGTCATAATAGAAAACCCAGTAAAACACATACTAAAGAACCACATTACAATTCTTTATCTCCAAATCAGAAAAAAAAAACAATATGAAAAACAAACACAAATTATTCAAGTCTTTGTTTTATATTATTCCTTTAAATTCCATACAACATGTTGTCAAAAGAGAGCAATGATTTTTGCTCTGTGTAGATTTAACTACATAAAGCTATGGAAGTCAAAAAGAGTTTCTAACGTCTACTGGTCTATGTATGTAATCTCCAGCACTATATTGGTTTTTTCTTTTTTTAATTTAATGACGTATTTGGCTAGGATTGTGGCACTTGGCTGGCACAGAGGCAACAGCCAGATAACTCTCTGGTCTGGTTTGTCTGAAAAATCCAGGAGAAGGAGCAAATTCAGAAGGGACATAGGGTAGAGAAAGTTCCTTTTTATCCACAGCAGGGGTCTCCCCAAACCTGACTTCACAGAAAAGTGCACCTGTTACAGTTTTATCTAAAATCATAGCACAGCCACAGTATTCACTTATAGAAATGCTTTTAACTAGTTTCACTAATTCCACACCACACATTTGGCTTTCAAAGCCACTAGGACTTAGAACCAACCTATGCTACTGAGCTGTCCCTTGGTCTCCATCTCACTGCACTGGGAAGTGGCCTACATTTTGCCTGTATGAAAGTCACACTAAGATTGTGCCTTCACTTCTCATGGAGACAATGCCCCCACCTTCTTTCATATGTGAACAAGCTAAACCAAAACTCATGTTCTTCATCCTACCATACAATTTGACAGTTACACTAAAGATTGGGTTATTCTGTGAAACAAATTATTTTACCCAATAAGGCCACAGCTACAGTAATAAAATTCTTGAATGTAGCTCACTGATGAAATCTCTAATGCCTGATTCAGTCAGCTCCATGGTAAAGAAAATCCCTTGGGTATTTAGGGCTCACCATTTGCTGAAACCAAGACTGAGCTTACAGGAAACTTCCTCAGGGTGTCTGCTAGATAGATCAATTCCTGGAGGCATCACGTGTTTGTTCTGATTTTTGCTATTACGAGTTAGTCAACGCATATAGAGTGCCTATCAGTTACAAACAGAATTCTAGAGGTTATTAGAACACATGGCCTCCGGGAAAGCATTCTGACTGCCAGGACCCCTTGGTGATCAGAAGTGCCATCTCATAAAATGTTATGTCTGAATTGTTTCTATTAAGGTATTCCATCCATAGAATTGAGCCATACTTTATTCCATCCACAGAACTGGGCAGAATTGGAACACTTGGTAGAGCAGGCCTGGTAAAGCCTGTGGAAGTTCTCTTCAGTGAGCCAATTAAAAAGATTTTATCCAGGCCCTCCCTGGTGGCGCAGCAGGTTAAAGCAAAGCACTAAGAAGCTAAAGCCACTTCCGCATGGGTTCCATCCCTGCCTGCCCCAGAGGTGACCCACATGGTGTGGCAGACCTCTCCTGGCCCGCCCTCTGCTCCCCTCAGCAGTGTACTTCGTCGATCTGCCTGTTCTGCTCACCACTCTGTCTCTGGTGAAGCCTCTCACCGCCCCTGAGCCTC